ACACCATTTATTGAAAAGATTGTCTTTTCCTTATTATATATTCTTGACTTTGTGTCATAGATTAGTGGACCATATGAGCATGGGTTTATTTCTGGACTCTCACTTCTGTTCTATTGATTTTTGTGTCTGTTTTCATGCCTGTATCATAGTGTTTTGTTTACTATAGCTTTGTAGTATAGTTTCAAGTCTGGGAGCTTGACACATTGAGCTTTGTTCTTCTTTCTCAAGATTGCTTTGGCTATTTGGGGTATTTTGTGGTTACATACAATATTTAGGATTATTTGTTCTAGTTCTGTGAAAAATGTCATTGGTATGTGATAAGGATTGCATTGAATCTGTAGATTGCTTAGGATAGTATGGCATTTTAATGATAATGATTCTTTCAATGCATGAGCATAGTATATATTTCCAGTTATTTGTGTTGTCTTCAGTTTCCTCAATGGCTTATAGTGTTTAGAGTACAGGCGGTCTTTCATCTCCTTTGATAAATTTATTCCTAGGTATTTTATTCTTTTAGATGGAATTGTTAATGGGATTGTTTCCTTCATTTCACTTTCTTAAAATTTGTTATTAGTTTATAGAAATGCAACAGATTTCTGTGTGTTAATTTTGTATCTTGCAACTTTACTGAATTCATTTATTAATTCTAAGAGATTTTTACTGAAGTCTTTGGGGTTTTCTATATATAGTATCATGTCATCTGCAAATAATGATATTTTTACTTCTTTGTTTCCAGTTTGGATACTTTTCATTTCTTTCTCTTGCTTAACTGCTGTAGCTAGGACTTCCAATACTATGTTGAGTAAAACATCAAGTGTTGCTTTTTTTGGTTGTGTTCCTGATCTTAGAGGGAAAGTTTTCAGCTTTTAACCATTGAATATTTTGTGAGCTGTAGGTTTGTCATATATTGCCTTTATTATGTTGAGGTATGTTCCCTCTATATCCACATTGTTGAGAGTTTTTATGTTAAAATGATAATGAATTTTGTCAACATCAAAACCAAATTTTTTTGTCATTTTTATTTTATGTTGAAGTATAGTGGATTAACAATGTTGTAGTAGTTTCAGGTGTACCCCAAATGATTTTCTGCATCCACTGAAATGATCATATAATTTTTCTTTTTCTTTTTGTTTATATGATGTATCACATTGATTTACAAATTTCAAAACCTTTTTGCATCCCTGGAATGAATTCCACTTAATCATGGTGTATAATCCTTCTAATGTAAAGTTGAATTCAGTTTGTAATATTTTGTAGAGGATTTTTACATCTACGTTCACCAGGGATTGGGACAAGTAATTTGTGTGTGGATGTGGGTGCTCACATGCACACGTGTGTCTGTGTGGTATCTTTGTCTGGTTTTACTATCAGGGTAAAGCTGGCCGCATAAAATGAGTTTGGATGTGATCCTTCCTCTTTAATTTTTTGGAATAATTTGAGAAGGATAGTGATTAACTCTTCCTTAAATGTTTTGTAGAAATCACCTGTGAAGCCATCTGGATTTGGAGTTGCTTTTTGGGAGTTTTGAAAATTACTGAATCAATTTTGTTACTAGTAATCAGTCTATTCAGATTCTCTATTTCTTTATGATTCTGTCTTGAAAGGTAATACGTTTCTAGAAATTTATCCATTTCTTCTAGGTTGTCTAATTTGTTGGTATATAATTGATCATAGTATTCTCATAAGATTCTTTGCATTTCTGTGATGTTAGTTGTATTTTCTCTTCTTTTATTTATGATTTTATTTATTTGTGCCTTCTTTTTTTTCTTGATCACTCTGGCTAAAGGTTTGTCTATTTTGTTTATTTTTTCAAAAAAACAGCTTTTAGTTCCATTGATGTTTTCTATTTTTTAAATCTCTATTTCATTTATTTCTGCTTGATCTTTATTATTTTCTTCCATCTGCTGACTTTGAGATTTGTTCTTATTTTTCTAATTCCTTTAGCTGGTAGGTTAGGTTGTTTATTTGAGAATTTATTGCTTGGATCAGTATGAACTTCACTCTTAGAACACTTTTTTTGCTTCATCCCATATATTTTGTACAGTTGTGTTTCCATTTTTATTTGTTTCAAGGTATTTTTATAATTTTCTTATTGTATTATTTTTCTTGTGGTACACGGGCCTCTCATTGTTGTGGCCTCTCCCATTGTGGAGCACAGGCTCCAGACGCACAGGCTCAGTGGCCATGGCTCACAGGCCTAGCTGCTCTGCAGCATGTGGGATCGTCCCAGACCCGGGCACGAAACCATGTCCCCTGCATCGGCAGGCAGACTCTCAACCACTGTGCCACCAGGGAAGCCCTCAAGGTATTTTTAAATTTTCATCTTTGATTTTTACATTGGCCCATTGGTTCTTTTTTCTTAATTAATTTTTATTGGAGTATGGTTGCTTTAAAATGTTGAGTTAGTTTCTACTGTACAGAAAAATGAATCAGCTATACATATACATATAGCTGCTCTTTTTTGGATTCCCTTTCCGTTTATGTCACCACTGTACATAAAATAGAGTTCTCTGTTCCATACAGTATGTTCTCACTAGTTATCAATTATTTTTTTTACATCTTTATTGGAGTATAATTGCTTTACAATGGTGTGTTAGTTTCTGCTTTATAACAAAGTGAATCAGTTATACATATACATATGTTCCCATATCTCTTCCCTCTTGCATCTCCCTCCCTCCCACCCTCCCTATCCCTCCAGACGGTCACAAAACACCGAGCTGATCTCCCTGTGCTATGTGACTGCTTCCCACTAGCTAACTACTTTATGTTTGGTAGTGTATATATATCCATGCCTCTCTCTCACTTTGTCATAGCTCACCCTTCCCGCTCCACATATCCTCAAGTCCATTCTCTAGTAGGTCTGTGTCATTATTCCTGTCTTACCCCTAGGTTCTTCATGCCTTTTTTTTTTCTTAAATTCCATATATATGTGTTAGCATACAGAATTTGTCTTTCTCTTTCTGACTTACTTCACTCTGAATGACAGACTCTAGGTCTATGCACCTCATTACAAATAGCTCAATTTCATTTCTTTTTATGGCTGAGTAATATTCCATTGTATATATGTGCCCCATCTTCTTTATCCATTCATCCCGTGAGGGACACTTAGGTTGTTTCCATCTCCAGGCTATTGTAAATAGAGCTGCAATGAACATTTTGGTACATGACTCTTTTTGAATTATGGTTTTCTCAGGGTATATGCCCAGTAGTGGGATTGCTGGGTCATATGGTAGTTCTATTTGTAGTTTTTTAAGGAAACTCCATACTGTTCTCCATAGTGGCTGTACCAATTCACCTTCCCACCAGTAGTGCAAGAGTGTTCCCTTTTCTCCACACCCTTTCCAGTATTTATTGTTTCTAGATTTTTTGATGATGGCCATTCTGACTGGTGTGAGATGATATCTCATTGTAGTTTTGAGTTGCATTTCTCTAACGACTAATGATGTTGAGCATTCTTTTTTTTTTTTTCAAAATAGGTATTTATTATTAAAAAATTATACAAACTGACTTATTACTCACAAAAAAAAATTATCATGAAAAATTTTAAACAATATGTCTCCCCCCTCCAAGAAAGTGTGTTTTGTCTTTATACTCTTTACTGTCAGTGCATTTTGATGGTATAGGAAAAAATTCACACATATTCCATATAACTTTGTTAGAATTTACAACAATACAGCAGAATCCAGAATCCCTACAGCGAATTATTAAGAAAACACATTTTTCTTCAAGTTTAAGTGTTTTTGAAGTTATATAAACAGTGAAGATTACAAAATAAATAGTAAACAAACACCTGTGTATAATTTTTCAATGCAAGAAATGATTAGCATACATTTTTTCATTTTGTTTCAACCTTACCAGAACACTTTTAAGAGCGAAAGTTGAAAATTTTCCAGTTACCCGAAACTTCAGAAACCTACTGTCCATTGAAAACCTCTGAAAAGCAGCATCATTTAAACAGCGGTTAACTTACAAATGGGAATGCAACAACCACAACCGACCTCAAGGCCACTCAGGCACATCAGAGTCCCCAGCTCTAAATGCAAGGCAGAACCTCCTCAGCAGAGGCTCTGACAGTTAAAAGGCCGTGAGGAGAAGGGATGCAGCCCAGGGCATCGGGCGCTTTCTCGTGGTGGAACAAAGTCAAAACTGAAGGGACTCTCCTTACAGAGTCCAAGTCACTGAAAGCAGCTCTATTAAACACCTGAGTCCTTTCTGACGCCCTCCTCAGCGCTTTACAACACAGACAGGACAAACAAAGGCTTCATGCACAGATTTTCTGAAACTGTGCCAATGCTCTAACAACTAATTTAGCAGAAAGAACTACAAAATGCAAATTTTTTAAAGGTTTCCCTATTAATGGGATTATGGATGAAGCTAGGAGCCAATCTGTCTCCTAAAAATAAAACAATTCATACGTCATCGAATGCCGTTTCAATTAGAGATCAGCTGTCAACACTATTTTAAAAGGTCTTGAAAGAAAAAAAAAAGGCCATTTTTTAATCTGGAATATAAATAAATCATCCATATAAAAGCTCTGTTATCTATATAAATGGAGCTACTTTCAAATAATTGGAATAATTTAGCTATTTAAAATACCATTTTAAGCAATAAAAGGCAAAGACGAGGGGTACCTACTGAACTATATACTTAAAAAATGATCGATACAGTAAATATGTATTTTACCATAAACAAAAGAAGGGTACTTTTTGATAATATATAATACTAAGAAAGATGCAACTAAGTAATCAGACTGCTATTAGTAAGAAAATAAGTTAGTTTTCCCTGTTTTGTACTCCGAAGTTCAAAGGCCCAGTTTCAAATTCCCAAAGCTCCAAACACAGTGACAAATAAAAGTTCAATCCAACCCTTAAATTAAACCACTCTCCATGCCCTGGCCCCCGAGTTTGGACAGACTCAGGTGACAGAATTGTTCAAGGTGTTATTAAAAAAAAACAAAAAAACACCAGGGCTTTACAAGAGAACCACTGTTTTCAAGTTCCTTTTTTTTTTAAGTGTATCTATTTAATGGAATAAGTTGACATATATTTGTAAACCAAAAGGTAACTCCTTACGTATTTTATAATAAGGAAGAACCTCCCTACCACCAACTTTTTGGCCATCTTTCTCCCTCTCACTTAGAATTACTGTCATCTCCCTGGTATACCCTGTATCAGTAAGGAGACCACAATACTGTACAAAGCACGGACACAGAAGCTGGTTTCTTAGCAGACTTGCCCCAGAGACTGCTGAAGCAGCAAGGCAGCAACACCCAATCTGAGGCGGTACCTGGGTTGTACTTCAAGATTGCACTGACCAAGCCCTCCGCATCTACAGAAGCAGGGGCGTTCTTTCACCGGCTGGCTGTTCCTTCTGAAAGAGCTCTTTGATCTGGGCTAATCGGCCGTAGAGCCTCTCTCTCAGCGGAGGGATGTGGTAGCTGGGGTCCAGGATGTTCGTCACTCTGCGCTCACGCTCTCACTTCCATAACTTGTATGGGTGGGGAGGGAAAAACAGTTGCCCTCTTTCTCTTCGAATCTGTAACGTAATTCCACTTACAGCCAGCATGCCCCATACTGCCAGGATAATAAAGTCATTCGTTTGAAAAGGCACATTTATGAAAGCTCTGCGGAAATCCACGTGGAGCACTCTCTTCAGTACGTTCAAAGTGATGTAGGAAAGGCTTGTGTACAAGTAACTGTCAACGGCCAAGACCACCGAATAGGAGCCAATGAATCCACAACTCAGTATGTTCAGTATTCTTAGGCAGCCCATGAAAACCACTGGAATGAGAATAGCTATACAAGAGAAGGTCACCCAGAACACTGAGTCATCACGGAAAATCTTTAGGTTTCCCAGTGGAGTGAAGAAAGTCACTGATGAGACAAGGAACCCCAGCACCAGTCCAACACACAGCATGCAGAGCACGAGGATTCCAAATCGCCACCAAGCAGCGACCAAGAAAATCCCACCGACACTTCCGGCAACGGCTGTCAGAACCAGGCGGACATCATACTTAATAGGTGTCAGTCTTGTAATCAGTATATAAAAGAAGAATCCCATGAAGATAAAGCCTATAAAGAATAGTTCTGTTTTCCAGAATCTGTGTCCAAAGAAACAGATGAAGAGACCAAGCAGGGCAAAAAGAGTGAAGAACACTTTGGTAGATACTCTTCCAAGGGAAGAACAATTATCCTCCCCTGCCTCAAAGCTGCAAGCGTACGTGTGAGCAGGGACGTAAGCTGCAGACGTATTTAGAAATGGATCCCTAACGATGACGTTGTAAATGACACCTTGTCCACGTTGTCAGTTGTCTTCTTTGAAGAAATGTCTATTTAGGTCTTCTGCCCATTTTTTGGATTGGGTTGTTTGTTTTTTTATTATTGAGCTGCATGAGCTGCTTATAAATTTTGGAGGTTAACCCTTTGTCAGTTGCTTCATTTGCAAATATTTTCTCCCATTCTGAGGGTTGTCTTTTGGTCTTGTTAATGGTTTCCTTTGCTGTGCAAAAGCTTTGAAGTTTCATTAGGTCCAATTTGTTTATTTTTGTTTTTATTTCCATTTCTCTAGGAAGTGAGTCAAAAAGGATCTTGCTGTGATTTATGTCATAGAGTGTTCTGCCTATGTTTTCCTCTAAGAGTTTGATAGTTTCTGGCCTTACATTTAGGTCTTTAATCCATTTTGAGCTTATTTTTGTGTATGGTGTTATGGAGTGATCTAATCTCATACTTTTACTTGTACCTGTCCAGTTTTCCCAGCACCACTTATTGAAGAGGCTGTCCTTTCTCCACTGTACATTGCTGCTTCCTTTATCAAAGATAAGGTGACCATATGTGCGTGGGTTTATCTCTGGGCTTTCTATCCTGTTCCATTGATCTATCTTTCTGTTTTTGTGCCACTACCATACTGTCTTGATTACTGCAGCTTTGTAGTATAGTCTGAAGTCAGGGAGCCTGATTCCTCCAGCTCCACTTTTCGTTCTCAAGATTGCTTTGGCTATTCGGGGTCTTTTGTGTTTCCATACAAATTGTGAAATTTTTTGTTCTAGTTCTGTGAAAAATGCCAGTGGTAGTTTGATAGGGATTGCATTGAATCTGTAGACTGCTTTGGGTAGTATAGTCACTTTCACAATGTTGATTCTTCCAATCCAGGAACCTGGTATATCTCTCCATCTATTTGTATCATCTTTAATTTCTTTCATCCATGTCTTATAATTTTCTGCATGCAGGTCTTTTGTCTCCTTAGGTTGGTTTATTCCTAGATATTTTATTCTTTTTGTTGCAGTGGTAAATGGGAGTGTTTTCTTGATTTCACTTTCAGATTTTTCATCATTAGTGTATAGGAATGCCAGAGATTTCTGTGCATTAATTTTGTATCCTGCTACTTTACCAAATTCATTGATTAGCTCTAGTAGTTTTCTGGTAGCATCTTTAGGATTCTCTATGTATAGTATCATGTCATCTGCAAACAGTGACAGTTTTACTTCTTCTTTTCTGATTTGAATTCCTTTTATTTCCTTTTCTTTTCTGATTGCTGTGGCTGAAACTTCCAAAACTATGTTGAATAAGAGTGGTGAGAGTGGGCAACCTTGTCTTGTTCCTGATCTTAGTGGAAATGCTTTCAGTTTTTCACCATTGAGGACGATATTGGCTGTAATTATCAATTCTACACATAATATCAATAGTGTATATGTGTCAATCTCAATTTCTCAATTCCTCCCATCCCCCTTTCCACCTCGGTGTCCATACATTTGCTCTCTACCTCTGTGTCTCTGTTTCTACTTTGCAAAGAGGGTCATCTATGCCATTTTTCTAGATTCCACATATATGCATTAATATACAATATTTGTTTTTATCTTTCTGAATTACTTCACTCTGTATGACCCTCTCTAGGTCCATCCATGTCTCTACAAATAACCAAATTTTGTTCCTTTTTATGGCTGAGTAATATTCCATTGTATAGATGTACCACATCTTCTTTATTGATTCCTCTGTTGATGGACATTTAGGTTGCTTCCATGTCCTGGTTATTGTAAATAGAGTTGCAGTGAACTTTGGCATGCATGTGTCTTTTTGAATTGTGGTTTTCGCAGTGTGTATTCCCAGTAGTGGGATTGCTGGGTCATATGGTAGTTCTATTTTTAGTTTTTTTTTGGAACCTCCATACTCTTTTCCACTGTGGCTCTCTCAGTCTACATTCCCATCAATAGTGCATGAGCGTTCCCATTTCTCCATACCCTCTCCAACATTTATTGTTTGTAGATTTTTTGGTAATGGCTGTTCTGACCAGTGGGAGGTGGCACCTCATTGTAGTTTTGATTTGCATTTCTATAATAATGAGTGATGTTGAGCATATTTTCATGTGTTTTATGGCCATCTGCATGTTGTGTTTTTTTTCTTTTTTCTTTTTTTTTGCCGTACACGGGCATCTCACTGTTGTGGCCTCTCCCATTGCGGAGCACAGGCTCTGGACGTGCAGGCTCAGTGGCCATGGCTCACAGGCCCAGCCACTCTGTGGCATGTGGGATCTTCCCTGACTGGGGCACAAACCCGTGTCCCCTCCATCGGCAGGCAGACTGTCAACCACTGTGTCACCAGGGAAGCCCCTGCCCGTTTTTTGATAGGGTTGTATTTGTTTTTTTGATATTGAACTGCATGAGCCACTGGTATATTTTGGAGATTAATCCTTTGTTAGTTGCTTCATTTGCAACTGTTTTCTCCCATTCTGAGGCTTGTCTTTTCATCTTGTTTATGGTTTTCTTTGCTGTGCAAAAGCTTTTAAGTTGAATTCGGTTGCATTTGTTTATTTATTATTTTTATTTTCATTACTCTAGGAAGTAGGTCAAAAAGATCTTGCTGCAATTTATGTCATAAAGTGTTCTGCCAATGTTTTCCTCTAAGAGTTTAATACTGTCAGGTGTTACATATAGGTCTTTAACCCATTTTTTTTTTTCAATTTTTTGTATCACGTTATGGAATGTTCTAATTTCATTCTTTTACATGTAACTGTCCAGAGTTCCCAGCACCACTTATTAAAGAGACTGTCTGTTCTCCATTGTATATTCTTGACTCCTTTGTCAAAGATTAGTAGGTGTGTATATTTATCTGGGGGCTTTCTATCCTGTTCCATTGATCTATATTTCTGTTTTTGTGCTAGCACCATACTGTCTTGATTACTTTGGCTTTGTAATATAGTCTGAAGGCACATAGCCTAGTTCCTCCAGCTCCACTTTTCTCAAGAATCCTTTGTCTATTCGGGTTGTTGTGTATTACCATACAAAATGTAATTTTTCTTTGCTCTAGTTCTGTGAAAAATTCCATTGGTAATTTCATAGGGTTTGCATTGAATCTGTAGACTGCTTTGGGTAGTATAGTCATTTTCACAGTATTGATTCTTCCAGTTCAAGAACATGGTATATCTCTCCATCTGTTTGTACTGTCTTTCATTTCTTTCATCAGTATCTTATAGTTTTCTGCATACAGGTCTTTTGCCTCCTTACGTGGGTTTATTCCTTGATATTTTACAATTTTTGTTGCAATGGTAAATGGGAGTGTTTTCTTGATTTCACTTTCAGATTTTTCATCATTAGTATATAGGAATGTCACATATTTCTGTGCATTAATTTTGTATCCTGCTACTTTACCAAATTCATTGATTAACTCTAGTAGTTTTCTGGTGGCATCTTTAGGATTCTCTATGTATAGTATCATGTCATCTGCAAACAGTGACAGTTTTACTTCGTTTTTTCCAATTTGGATTCCTTTTATTTCTTTTCCTTTTCTGATTGCCATGGATAGAACTTCCAAAACTATGTTGAATAATAGTGGTGAGAATGGACACCCTTGTCTTTTTCCTGATCTTAGAGGAAGTGCTTTCAGTTTTTCACCTATAGGAATGATATGTCCTCTGGGCTCACTTTCTGGAGAGTTTTTCTCATAAATGTGTATTGAATTTTATCAAAATCTTTCTCTCCATCTATTGAGGTGATCATATGGTTTTTATTTGTCAATTTGTTAATATGGTGTATCACATTGATTGATTTGCATATATTGAAGAATTCTTGCATTCCTGGGATAAATCCCACTTGGTCATGGTGTATGACCCTTATAATATGTTGTTGGATTTGGTTTGGTAGTGTTTTGTTAAGGATTTTTCCATCTATGTTCATCAGTGATATTGGCCTGTAATTTTCTCTTTTTGTTATATCCTTGTCTAGTTTTGGTATCAGGGTGATGGTGGACTCATAGAATGAATTGGGGGTGTTCTGTCCACTGCAGATTTTTGAAATAGTTTGAAAAGGCTCTGTGTTAGCTCTTATCTAAATGTTTGATAGAATTCTCCTGTGAAGCCATCTGGGCCTGGACTTTTGTTTGTTTGAAGATTTTTAATCACAGTTTCAATTTCATTATTTGTGATTGGTCTCTTCATATATTCTATTTCTTCCTGGCTCAGCCTTGGAAGGTTGTACTTTTCTAAGACTGTCCATTTCTTCCAGGTTGTCCATTTTACTGCCATATAATTTCTTGTAGTAGTCTCTTATGATCCTTTGCATTTCTGTGGTGTCAATTGTAGCTTCTCCTTTTGCATTTCTAATTTTATTGATTTGAGTCCTCTCCATTTTTTTTTCCTGATGAGTCTGTCTGGCTAAATGTTTATCAGTTTCATTTATCATCTCAAAAAACCAGCTTTTAGTTTCATTGATCTTTGCTATTGTTTTCTTCATTTCTATTTCATTTGTTTCTGCTCTAATATTAATGATTTCTTTCCTTCTACTAACTTTGGGTTTTGTTTGTTCTTCTTTCTCTCATTGCTTTAGGTGTAAGGTTGGTTGTTTATTTGAGATTTTTCTTGTTTCTTGAGGTAGGATTGTATTGCTGTAAACTTCCCTATTAGAACTGCTTTTGCTGCATCCTGTACATTTTAGGTCATCATGTATTCATTGTCATTTGTCTCTATGTATGTTTTCATTTCCTCTTTGATTTCTTCAGTGATCTCTTGGTTATTTCATAGCATATTGTTTAGCCTCCATATGTTTGTATTTTTAACAGTTCTTTTTTTCCTGTAATTGATTTATAATCTCATAGGATTGTGGTAGGAAAAGATGATTTATACAATTTCAATTTTCTTAAATTTACTGAGGCTTGATTTGTGACCCAGGATGTGATCTATCCTGGAGAATGGTCTGTGAGCACTTGAGAATAAAGTGTGTTCTGCCACTTTTGGTTTGAATGTCCCATAAATATAAATTACGTCTATTTGGTCTCTTGTGTCATTTAAAGCTTGGGTTTCCTTATTCA